TTATTGCGCGTGTATCACCTGTGGATCTCTCTCTGTGGATCTCTCGTCTCTGCACCTACAGTTACGTTATTTAAAATTGGATGACGCACTCATTCACTTACACTTTGTTACTTAGGCCTATCTCTTTGTTTTATTCCTGGAAATATATTTGACTGTCTGATTAATGAAACTGCGCGGAGTGTAGAAGTCCTACGTTAAAAACGATCAGTCTATTCTTTTGACATAAAATGGATGAAATGCATAATTTTCATTAACCTCTTCTGATAACTCACCAGGCCAACCAACTGGAATTTTAAAGCGATGCCCCTTAAACTTTTAATCTCACTACTTATTGACCAACCTACACGTGTGCGTGCAGTGTTTGTACCTCTAAAACCCCACATCCGCCAAACAAGAAAACCAAATGCGTCCAAAAGATTTTTATGCCCCACGTTCCAGATAAAGTGAACGATTCGATCATGCAGGAAGTCATTTACATTTCTCTATATAATCTGTGCGCAATAAAACAAAAATAACACAAACTACCGGTCTACGCACTTTTACTAATCTGTAGCATGCGCAAAGGGAATCAATTAAATATTTTAACGTTTGTTTTTATTGACACAATTATTGATGCCTTCACTTATTTCATTCAGAACATCTTGGAAATTTACTAGTCATTTACTATGTCTGCATCCCAATGCTTTATTGGGCCACTTTTGGCTACTTTGGAACATTACCCACATGACTTTCTAGTTAAATTACTGCGGTATCGTTTCCAAATTTCTTCATCCCAAAGTAATTCGGGTTACTTGATTGAGTTTTAGTAAGCCGCTGCGGACCTGAGAAAAACTACACCTGGTTATTCACAAGGCATTTTGGGTATTCACCAACCAATGATTAGAGCACTTTCTTCTTTCGATTGAGTTTCTATCGTAGTCCGCTATGCACATATCTCAGGTTATGTGCAACAGACATGTCATGATACCTATATAGACCTCGTTTGAATGAGCTTTACACTTGGTTGGAAAATATCGATGTTTGTACGTTCCCTTCACTGCAGTGAACCACTTGGAATGGTAGTGTGCTGTCACGGGATTTTAGTTCCTCAGTAACGGTTATCTTCTCGGTAATGGGTTTTAAGTGGCTCAAAATTTAGTCTTGTTTCGGCCTACATTTGCACGCCGTTGTCTATTAATCGACGTTAATTTCCTGAATAACCAGTGGACTTGTTCATTGTCCTCATGTCCCAACCATTCATGTGTAAAGGATAAATGCGAGAGAGTTTGGCAGTGTCATTTCAAACCTGTGTGTTCCTGAGTCTATGGCTCCGATCGGACAATGAGACCAGACAAGTTTGATAGTTCATCCAATGTCAGTATTTTCCTCCGTCATCTCATTGGTTGGGATAGCAGTATGCTGCATTTGCGCATGCTGGAGAGCAACAATATTACGTAGAAACGGATCATCGTAACGTCCCACTGCAAGGCGAATGCCACACCACGTTTCTCATGAACTGGCGAAAATTATCTATCAATGCCTTCGTTTTCTTTGCCAACCGATTTAATCGGCTTTCTAGGAATGCAGTTTTATCTTAGGTAGGAATAGATTTACCACAAAATTTACGCTAACTAGGCGTCTATTTCCTTAACGGCGGGAAACAAATTCTCTGATCATTAGACTAGACTAGTTGTTATTGGCTGGCTTGAATTTTCCAAGTCCGTTTCATGCAACCTGCTCGGCCGTCAGATGTAGGCGCTGTGGAAGAACTACCTAGGTAGAGCATAGCCTTGTCTTTCCTGTCATCTACAGCCAGGCAGTCTGTTTGGATCTTGTCGGTGGTGACAGTATAATGAGCACCGCAAGCAAGGTGCTTTACTGGAATCCTTCCGTTGTCTGCAACTCTCTCTCACCAACCAATGCTCAAAATCCGTCGTAAAATTGCTGATAGAACCGCTCGAGATATCGTACATCCCGCTGGTATATCTTCCGCGTTTCGCTTCTGTATAGAAAAACGGAGAACACTATGGATTTGTGCACCATCAGCTTCGTACCTACTGTAACCTGATGGTTGTTACACGCTCGGTATTCAAGCTTCCCGAATGCCGCCTCTGCCTTCGATACGCAGATAAGCAGCACTCTGCATATCTTCTGGTCAGTCGACACCACACTTCCAAAGTAGCAGAATCGGGAGGGGGTTTCCAGTACGTCATTACCATTGCTGATTTGCGGCAACATTGCAGATTGTACCTCCGGTGAAGGCTGAAAGAGACAAACATCTGTGCTTGTGTTGATGGTGAGCCCGAATTTTGCCGCTGTCGAAGCCAGAGCACTAGCCATGTGCTGCAACTCATCCGCGCTGTATGCAAACAACACACAGTCGTCAGTAAACAGCAACGTACGGATAGTTGTCTCATTGACTAGGGTTCTCGCACCGGAAGGACGGATGTTCAGCAATCCATCATCAGTACAGTGCTCCACACGAACAACGCAAGAACAAACCGCATCAAAAGCACAGGACAACACTGCATGAAGATATATATTAAACAGGGCAGGAGCTGTGGCACAGCCTTGCTTCACACCAGAGACAAATTCATTCCTTCGAGGTCTGTCTACTCAGCTGCACCCTCGCCCGCACATCACTTTGCATAAGTTCAGTTACACTTATAAATTTACTCCGACTACTAACTTTACCCAACACCAGCCACAATACGTCACGAACCACCGCATCAAATGCTTCGGTGAAATCAACATACATTGAGTATAACGGCTGGTGGCCTTTTTTACACCGCTCCTGCAACTGACGACTTGCAAACACCATGTCTATAGTGTTGTGACCCTAAAGAAATCCACATTACTCTGCTGCCATGTTCGGTTTCACAACCTGACTGACGAGGCGGTTGAGTAGGATTCGGGCAATCAACTTGCCCCCACACAACTCAGCAATTTGTGCAGTATTGATAGGATGCAGCCGCGTATGTTTCATTTGGATGCGTATAGATTTGGATTACAACACAAATGATAGTCCGCTAATATTTTTTGCTTGCTGATAATGCCATTTCTCCTCCTTTCTAGGTCAACTGTTGCCAATAAGACACCGTTCCACAAACGAAGCTTATGATGATGATGATGCTGACGTATCGGTATGGAGGATAACAGTGGTATCGATGAACTAATAGTGCGTAAATTAAATTATCATCGATAACATAGTGAATTAGATGATCTTAACTTGGCAAACTATGTGTTTTATTGCTCTGGTATCACGCGGGTTACCGTCATGGCGTCAAGTAGATAGTTCAAGTTCATACAACACATTGCATAAAAGTTATATGCGTGAAACTGACATTTGTATACTACGGGGAAAACGGTTGCGTATTTTGAGTGTACGGACTCAGTTAAGTGTAAAATACGAATGAAATATCATGAATTTCACTATGGCCGCCTTTCAATTATGTACTAGACAATCACTAATACAAATTTTTCGCGAGCACTTTCGCCCACCTAATGGTCGAAAACTTAATCTTTGATTATTTCGTTTTCCATAATCCGGTTTCATCCAAGTTAACTATTTGCTTCGATGCTTCACAATCCCATCGCATCAGCTGATGCTTTATTTAACTCTATTTCACCTGAATTTGTATTCTAATCATCTTTTTCATCTGCCTGATGATCTGATGAAGAAAGTTCCGTTAGTTTATTTTAATCTCATTATTTCATCCATTCGTTGAGTACAACAGATGCTATTTCACTTTGGCCATTTGCCATACTATAAAAGTCATTCCTTGTATTACGACTAAATTGTCTTTTTCTTTCTAAATTCTGCTGCTTATGCTAATCGCCTTTTTCTTCTTTCAAGTGTTCTGCTTAGAATTATTCCAACAACTGGCAAACTACAGGTACGTATATGGAGTTGCTAGAAAGTTAGTCGCGTCTACGCCGGTTTATATTTGTGGTTAGCTTGAGCAGGGACACTATTTAGGCACGGCTCGGGACAGGGCTTATTTTATTGCAGATTGCGTCCACTAGTTAACATACATAAAGCACATGCCGGAGTAACGTCAACACGTGGGTCGTAAACCCCACTACGTTTTAAATGAACGTTGCCTGAATGACAGTAAATATATTACTCAATATTTTGTCCAACCAGCATGGAGTTAACACTTTGTATCGTGATAGGGCCAAGCCATTTACTTACATAAGCATTCACTTCGCGCATTCTGCTTATCTGACTCTATGTAGGATTAGGATTTCTCGTATTCTAGAAAATTACCGTTTATCCATAGATATTTTAGGGAGGCGGAAGGCAGCGCTTGCCCAAAGGACGGTTAGATCATTAAAACGGAGGCAGACGAATAGGTAGACCGATGCAATGGGGGCGATTCGCTGGAGAAACCCAGGCCCAATAGAACGGGACAAATACGGGACTGGAGCGGCATCCGTGGGTGAGCCCGAGGCAGGCAAAGCAGGTGCAGAATTTGTTGAAGACGCAACAAATGGGACAAAACCGCCGGTATCGCATCTTCAAGAATCAACCCCGGGGAGCGTGATACAACCACGGTCAAGCAAAGTGCACGCTATCGAACGACTCCGGGCTTGTCAGAATCAGAGGCGTGGAAACGAAGGTATACGGGCGAAACGGACATAGAAGATGCGTTCCGGTACCCTCAGAAGAAGCATAGGAGCGCCACGAGCGGAGGCCAGAAGGGATGGTGAAATGTGGGAAAGAAACCTGACTCATTAATATGCGCCTGTGTGTGTGGTAAGGTGGTGTGTGTGTGTTCGCGCCAGTAAAGTTCGTGCTTCGCTGCCGCGTTGTTCCGTCGCTACCATATCACAAGGCAGCATTCCCAAAATGGTTTTTCTGGTTGCGAAACTCTAAATTGCTTACCCTTCATTTACAATACTTATTAATACATATGCAACAAAATGGGAAACTTTCCTTTCCTTAAAGCTGTTTTTTTTAGAGCGAAACTAAACATCATTGATATAAAGGTATGTTATGGTGCAAGGAACATGTAATGTCATTCCAAATAGTTGCCAACAACATTTATATAGTGCGTCATAATCTTCTCCATAGTAGCCTTGTTCTCCGTAATCTGTGGCATTGCTTTGAAAAACTTTGTGAATCCTGGCGCCGTGCTCTAAATGATGAAAGAAATATCAAAGTCATTTGACGAAACGGTATCAGCCACTTGACTACTGGTCGCAATGGATCAGTTACAAACTCACCAGGAAATCTGCTCTAGTCACTTTCCACTCAACGTGTGAGTTGCCAAGTTGCTCCAAAATTTCGCTGAGTTTCTTGTCATCGGCGGCAGCACGAATAACTTTTAAAACGCCATCACAAGCTCGTAGTCCGTAATATTTTATGTCCTCAGACTGAATCGCCTGAGCCGCATCCAGACCCCGAACTCGGCTGAACAAGTCGATGTGTTGTGGCAAAGCGGTGAAGAGTCTACAACAGAAGTTCATTATGCTTGTTTGGGTTTAAAGTGCAGATAGCAGTGGAAATGCGTAGTCCACACTCACTCGGTATATGCCTTCACACCTAGAGCCTCTCTTTTCGCTTCGTTGTCTAAATTTGCGTCCAGCTCGTCCATCAGCCGGTCTACTTCCTCTTGCGTCACGGGAGCCATCGATACACAGTGAGTTATGGAACTATGCGCTTGTGCACCTATGCTACTAGGTCTATTTATCCAACGATATTGCACTAGCTTCATGCCATTGCCATTGATCAAGATTTCACGTAGCATTATTCGAACAACCGTATTGGATAATCGGCTTGAGCCGTAATAATGCATGACACCATGTCCGAACAATGGTTACTTACTACTCCGTGAAACTCTGTCCACACAGCACATGTTGGTCGGTGACGGTAAATCTAGGTTGGTTTACCATGTGAATCTGCCACGTTGTAATTTGGTCAGGAGAGAACATGGTTGTTTTTGATCATGAGTCCTCAGTCCGATTGCGGGTGTCACACCTTGTATGGTCACATGGATACAAGGAAACTAGAAGTAAAGCCATAAGTGTCCCAAAACAAAGTGTATTGAGTTTATATTTCCATAAATATCAATAAGTCATTACGCTTGTAATTGGATGCCATCGGCAATTATCTTACTTTGAGACATAATTCCCCTTTAATGAGACACATTAGTTGGGTTGTTACCCACCTCTATCTTGAGCGTATAATGATGATGATGAATTACCGATTAACAAACAACGATAGACACTGAAATCGTTTTCGCTAATGGTTGGGTCCACATCAAAGAACATTCGACCTTCCATTTGACTCAAAGCACAAGCTTTGCACGCGTGTACAGAAGTTTTATTCTCACCTGATAGTTTCTCTGAGCTAGTCTATTATTAAGTGAGGTGGATTAGTTATTGAATGCCTAAGCAAATTCATGCAATCTCCGTTAGGAATACAAGTTTAAAATCTTCACCTCGCACTTACTTTCAAATTTTTGTAGCATCTGTGGCAAAATTTGACCGTGTGGTTTACTATTTACTGCACACCTACACCGATCCTTCACGATATACTTGTTTGATAAGATGCTTGCTTCAATCAGGCTAAATGGTTATCAAGAACTTTAGCTCGAATCCATACAGCTGCGTCAGTTAACGTCCAAGTTTCTACATTAGTGCGTTGCTCCAATTTGCATATAGTAGAATTGAGACGTAAATTGGCAAAGTGAACCGCAACCCCGTTAACGTACTTTTATTACGAAAGCAGAGAATGCCCGCACTCCGAAGTATTCCCGGTGGGCTGATACACATCCCTGTATCATCGAAGGATAACAACGACAAATTCGAGTGAAGACGCCAGAGCTTTTGAGTGGAATTCTTGGACAATCGCTCTTAATCTGAGCATGAGAACGACTTATCGCCTGTGCAACTTCTCTGATAATATTCATACAAGGACTGTAATCACTAAGCTCGCAGCGAATATACTCATGGGAGTAAAGTGATTCAAACCTTTCGCGCGGCGTCCAATAATTTGGTCGGCATCCTGTACCGGTTCATATTTGAGCAAACATTTAAAGCGATACCCTGCTGATTGACGTACCAGTCCATGCACCGATGTAATCCTATAGACATCTTAAACCTGTTTTTATGAACGCCGGTGGAGACACATTTGAAAACTGGTCACGCATTTTCAGTACAAATGATAAAATTACGAATCTTCACGAAGCTCCAAGTTTCAAATTCGAGCCATTACTCCGGGGAAATGCGAGAGGCTATGGTCCATTAAATGTCGTATTATCACGAAGCTGGTATTATAAAATACTTTGTCAACCGTTGTTACAAAACGAAAAGCGTTAGTAGGCATACCTCAAGGGATTTGTGGTACTTTTTGATAAGCAATTTTTCCCACCTGAGAATTAACTACGTAATAACAGTATTGGTGTGTTAATTGTATTCGTATCGTATTGGTTATGCTGGAATAAAGAACTCCAAGTTTAGACTCATCTTGCTTAATTTGAGCACTGCTACCAACGGTTTATGCTACTGTTTTATAGGTTTCTGTTTACTTTTTCTGCATTTCCTAATATTCACAAATTTTTGTATAAGTACTTAGCTTTCGCTGTTATGAAATGTTTGACCGATTGCTGACCTGGTTGCTTCCGTACCTTGGAGTCCTTCCCAAACCACTAAGCTTACTCACGTTTTTACAACAGCCGTGCAGACAAATTAAAATGCAACACCAAAGATCCACATAGAACGGAGAATGTTTGGTTCAAATATAATTGGGACAAGACCAAAAGCACAACCTTAGTAATGTCCGTTCTGCTGCGCATTGTTAAACCGGGAGTTGATCGGGATATTTGTGATTTTGTCAATATAAAATCAAAATTGTGTCGCACCTCGAGATAGTGGTAAACTGTCCACACTCACTGCCTGAGCAGCTCCCACCTGCTCGGTTGCGTGGAGCAATGATGATCGATTGGTGTAATTACGTACGCGAGTGAAGGAATGTCAACCGAAGCACGACAAAAGTACGTCATTAGCGACGATAGAACCACGAAAAAGCAAGAAAAAGCTGAATATGCAAGTCTGTTAGGGAAAGGAAATATTTCGTATTTCTACGCAAGAGCATGTAGGTGACGGTGGAAACCTCTTACTGTAGATTCTCTAACTACATGCTCCAGTGGGGTGTGTTAAACTTCAATGACTCGCTGAGATAGATGATATTCCTTCCCAGTCGGATCAGAACTCAGTTTGTGCAACATCAACGGGTCACCACAGAGACTATACCGATCTTACTTCTTTAAACTATGGTAACTGTAGATCAACTCCTTGCAATCCGCCCGTAGTCCGTTAGTTACATTTCCAAAGTAAGCAAACTTTCGTGATAAGCCTGTCCCCGTAAACCCTGCACTAACCTTTTATCAATTCGCATACTCATTTCAATCACCATTGTCCTGCAAAATGTATGGTAGACAAGCTTGTATACAGTAAATTAAGTAGGATGTCACGAAGACCGATAATAGATTTATAAGTATTTTATCGTTAAGACTGCGAAGGAGCGGTAAAGAAACCGCATCGAATGGAAGGCGCTGCTAACAGCTTTCTTTCCATGGTCACCGTGGTGAACGACCAGTGTGCGCAACACCTATACCCACCAACTGAGTCAAAACATGAATTTCAATTCGCTACCGGCATATGTTACGAGAGGGGTAGCAGATCCGATGCGTAGGACAGAATCTTTTGGATGATTAACCAGCACCAACCGTAAGATTGACCAATCCACGTTTATAGTCAAGACCCACTGAATTCCCTAGAGCCCTTATGGATATCAAAAATATCATACGCCTTGTGAACCTACACAAGCCGCATTCTGACCGGATCAGGGCGGAAACTCGGTTATCGCGTAGAATTATCTAGCGCTGGAACTCGCTTCCAGAAAGTGTAGTCAGTGAACCTACGGTTAAGGGTTTCAAGCGTCATTTAGACGCTCTTGGGTAGCAAAACGAAACCTTTGCCTTCTCCTGACCATATCCTTCTTCACACTTTTAGTTCTTATTCTGTCATTCTCTTTCCTCTTTGGTGTTATCCTACGTTTTAATGACTTTTATTCCCCTTTTGCATCCATTTACTTTCTACTTCTTTCTTACTTCACGTAACCTACATAGCGCGGACTTCTAGTGCAGAGAACGTGGGCAGTAATTGGTGATCATGGTGAGTTTCGGGTGTTTCGTTTTAGATCTATCAAGAACTAGCACCTTATCACTTCCTGGCTCAACGATTTGCTCAAGAAGGAACACTCAACAAAATTTTCTATCTTTCCAGTCCATCTGAATCTGAATCCGAATCGAACCCCGGTCCACGCATTTCAGGTCCGCTGCTTTACACTACACACAAACATCCGAAATTAATCTACCATCGCCCATTAGACATCCGAAGAACAGGTACTTCGCTCCATTGGGAAGGGACGGGTGAGTGAGCCAATCTGCAACACCAGGACAGGTACTGTGAGCTCATTGGCAATACGTCGCGCAACAAGCAGAAATCACGTATTAAAATTTGCGCTCCCAGTCGCCATCCCTCGGTAGCTCAGTGGTAGAGCGGCGGACCGGAAATGCGTGGACCGGGGTTCGATTCCCCGCCGAGGCACATTATTGTGCGTGAATTTGAAGCGTGATTCCTACCTTCTACAAATTTATACTTCGTCCATAGTTGGAGCACTGGATCTTCGCACATGTGCCCCAGTAGGTGCTTTGGTGGCATGCATTACAAGCTTGCTTGTATCAGATATCTTGTCCTCAGCTGTTTGGAACAAACGTACTTACGCTTCATTTCAATGGAGAAGCCATTGGGGAACAATAGAACACTTTATGTCCGTAGAAATTCCGTAGCGTGCATTCCATTCATCATGGGCATCCTCGACAAAGTACGCCAGCAAAAATATATGTTGATTAACTGGGAACAGAAGCAGGGATCCGACTTTATGATAATCTGTAGTTTCACTTTGAAAGTGGGCATTAATTATGTCGTTTCGATTTATGCGTCAACCGACGTTATTTGGAAGCATGAGTTGCATTTCCTGATGTTAGATAGGAAATGCTTTGATCCGGCGGTATATACGGCAAGCAGTTTCAATGGCTCTGGTGACTGCAAGTTGATGCAGTTCATATTTTCCGTCGTCGAAACACATTACTTTCGTTTCCCAATTACATTTCAGAGCCTTGCATTACGGACACGCTTCAGTCATAGTATTGATGCGAACATGCCGATACAAGCCATAATATTCACCTAGGTTATACCGGGATGCAAAGCGGTTGTATTCGTTCGATTACTGAGCACTGATCTGCTGTTGCAAATTGACATATTTCAGCCACTCTCAAGCGGTCGACATTAGAACGTTGAGAACGAAGAACACCGGAAGCTGCGGAACGCGATGGTCTTGTTTGTAATCGTGCTATATTTGTATTTTTGCTCGCTTGCTGATTTGCGTTCTTCCTAAATATTTTATTTTCAATTATCCATCACACTGCTTCCGCTACCCGAGCACGACGGTCTAAGATTGATCTGCGAGGCATTATGCGGGTGAGCTAAAGCAAATGCATTGCACTGAAAAAGAAGAAGGAATGTTATGAAAAAGGCATCCAACCTTGCGAGACATTAAAAAAGC